TTGCCACCTATTTTGATTATCGTCTAAATTTATCTGTTGCGCATCTAATTGATTATCAATTACTTCTCTATCCCTATATAATTGTGGAATATTATGTAAATCTCTCTGTTTTGCTACTATTCTTTCTTGTCTTCTCTGTGCTGCTAATTCTATATGTTCTTTTCCACGTCTCTTAATATTCAATCTATGATTTTGTCTTTCTCTATCATATTGTAATACTTGATTTCTATTTATTCGAACATATGGTAAAATTAAATTTAAACTACATAAAACACAACGTGTGTCAACACCATCTCTATTATACCATCTAGTCGCACAATGCATATGAGCCATATATCTTTGATTATTATTACAAAGCTTCACTACTTCTGGATTACTATTCATAGCTTCCCTTAAAGGTGTATTACAAATAGAACATCTTGTAAAATCTTGTGGATCCATATTTCTATCTTCATTTTGTTGTTGTAGTGGTGGTGGTTGCTTTCCTACAACTATTTGTTGTACATTATCAATTACCTCCACATCCTCCCTTATTTGTGGAATATTATCCATATCTCTTTGTCTTTCTTCCATTCGTCTTCTAGCTCATTTCAAATTCAATCTCTGATCTTGATTTCGTCTTATTATTTGTAATATATGATCTCTTCCTACTCGACAATGTAAAAGAGGTTCAAAACACACTATACAAGTTTGTGCAACATTTGGTATTCTGTACTATCTATTCGCACAATCTTCATGTATATAATGAGGCATATGTTAATTATTACATAATTGTATAACATTTCCACCTTGATGTAATGGTATATGACAAATAGGACATTCTAGAACATCTTGTTGATTGAATTCTTCTTCTTCTTCAATAACTATTTGTTGTAGTATTCGATTATCATTTACTTGAATTTCTCTATATCTTTGTAAAGCTATCGCATCCGGTCTCAATATATTTTCTGGTACTACATTTCTCCATAATTCATCAGGCTGTAATAGTACACGACATATAGGACAAGTAATTACACGTCGACTCCATCGATCAATACAACGAAAATGAAATATGTGATTATTTTGACATGGTATCACTACTCCATCTAAATTTTCAATATCAAATGCTGTTAAACATATAGAACATATTTCTTCTTGTACATTTATTTCCAATACTCCTCTATCTATCTGTGGATCTACTATGGGTATAGGTATTGGTATTTGATAAAGTATTGGTATTTTTGGTTGAATTATAATTTGTTTAGCTTGATCACCAATTATCCGATCATCTCTTATTTGTTCTTCTCTTATTACATTTGGTATTTGTTTTATCGGTAATTGTTTTATTGGTATTTGTTTTATCTGTGGTATATTTGTTGATTTTGTTTAAGTCCTCCTCCTTTAGGTCTCCCAGGTATCTGTGCTTGTATTTGTTTTGGTCTTCTTTGAATAACTAGTGTGTAAGTTTTTGGTCTTGATCCAAAATATCTGCTTCGATCTATATTCATATGTAAAATTAACTCTCGAATAATCATTGGATAAACACATAGTCTTGCACAACTTGATACTGCATGATTACCACCACAACATTGACAAATATATCTCTGTTTAACATCACTCACAAGA